TTTTTTTTTTTTTTTTTTAGGTTTTCTTCTGTGATGTTATATAAATCACTAGACACATACTGGTGTGTAATTTGAGAGGGTTATAAGTCAGGTGTTAATTTAAACTTAGATTTAGAATACTATGCTAAACAGATTCTGGCTAAAACTCTCAAAAATGAAAATTTATAATTTACAGTAATTATAATAAGGTATAATAAAAGAATATATTTGAGAACATTTAGAAAAAGATAATTAGATTCTGGATTCAGGTCATCTCAGGAATCAGATTTTCTTAGAAATGGTTTTTCTAAAACTTTCTTGGAATGACTTCTTGGACAGCGCCTCATTGGGAGCGTATATATTACCTTTAGGACTAATGTTCCTGAGGCAAATGAAGCCTTCTCTGTATCTCAGCACCTCCTCTCTTTTGTTGATTTTTTGTTTCCCTCCTCTTTCTAGGCTTATATTTAGCTCTCTTCCCTTCTGTCCTTACCTCCAACTCTTCCCTTGACTATTTACTTCTTTCTTCTGTATTGTTTGATTCTTGCCTTCTTTTTTTCTGCCTTTGCTGTAGCCTTGCTAGTAAGATATGCGGGGACAACCCTTTTGATATCTATCATGACTCTAGAGGCTGCCCATCTCTTAGTTCAAGGGCTTTAGGTGTTATTCAGTAGCCTTTCTGATATGCTGCTTCACCCTCATTTTTGTGGTTGTCATCTGTAGTAAATAACTAATTTACCATAGGTACCAAGTTGATACATAGTTTCTTTGTCTTCTGAAAATTTTAAACCGAGTCTCGGGTTAGTGTTTTCTTTTTCAGAGTAGCAGCTATTTATTTGCTGTTGGTTGGTTGTCTTTTCCTATAAATATCAGGCACTGTTCCCACAAAAAGTAAATATCTTAACACAAGGATTTAGGATTTGGGGAACTGTCTTTATACTATTATGTTCTAGTTAACTTTAATCCAGTGGTTTAGTTTAATTATCTTAGTATTTTGGGGGAAAGTTAAAGGTTTGTTTATTAAGTTTAGGATATCATCTGTGCTCAGAGATAACAGCCCAAACTTGCCAATAAATTATATGTGGTTATGAAAATAAAGTTATTTTTTCTTTAAAACAACTTAAATGGCGGGGGGGAATGTCCAGGGTGAATTAAAGAAATCCTTTATCCAGAAAAGTAATGATGCAGTTTACTGGCTTATATAATTTAGAAATAGCTTGGGCCCTGATAGTGAATCATAAAATATCATCAGGTGAGTTCAAGTATTTAGAAACTATCCAGAGTTTCCAAATCTCTTGTCTTATCAGAACCAGTTCTTCTACTTCAGTCTTTATTCAAAAATTGAATGGGAGCATTACCATATGGATATCTTAAAATCCTGCGAGAAGATGTGTGTCTGGTTCTTTTTTTTTTTTTTTTTTTAATATGTTCTTATTGATGAGAGAGAGAAAGAGAGAGAAACATCAATCTGCTGCCTCCTACACAACCCCTACTGGGAATTGAGCCTGCACCCCGGGCATGTGCCCTGACCTGAAAACAACCAGTGACCTTTTGGTCCATGGGACAACACTCAACCAAATGAGCCACTGTGGCCAGGTGGGTCTGATTTCTTACCAGAGCTTTTCTTCATGTCATTTTAGGTAGTAACTAGAAATTAAGTTACTCTCTTAAGCTCTATAAGTAAAGTTTGAATGCATTTCATTCTTACCACGTTTTAAAGTTATTTAGAAAATTTTGCTTTGCTTCCCACATTGTTAAGAAGAATAAAATATTTTGTTAATTATGAAAGCTCAAGGTATTCTGAAGTCAGTGGGTCAAATGATTTGACTGGAGAAGATTCCTTTAGTAACGTTCTGAGAGGAGGCCAGAAAGGAAGGTTGGAGCTTTAGTCACCAGGCTAAGGAGTTTGGACTTGATGTCCTTTCAGAAATTGGGGGGATCTGGTCAGGGGAGCACTGATTGAGGGCTGATGTACCAAAGTGTCTTGGAAAAATCAATCTAATGTGCCCTATAAGGGTGAACTAAAGGAGTATAGAGATTGGGATTGGACAGATGACTTAGGCTATTTTGATAATCAAGTTTAGTGGATTTGGGTCAGTGGAAAAATGTTCTCAGTATCAAAGTCGAATTTTTATAGAAATGATGTTTGGGGTTTCGTTTGTTTGGATTTATTTAATTGGGAAGAAGTTCTCTGTTCTGGCTTAAACATTGTTTTTAGATTTGTCAATTTTTTTATAACTTAATGTGGCATATAGCCCTGTGGTAGTCACCTGGGTGAATAATGCATTTTTACTGCTTATAATTAAAATCTACCTAATTTATTTTCTTAAATATTTTCGTGTATTTTTATATTTACTATATACTATAGATATATTTGTTTTAACAAAGGACGGCTTTATTTTATTTCCTGGTAATTTTCTATCAAGATGAAAGTGTTTTTGTTATTTTTTAGGCCATGGCAACTGAACCTGAACAGGTTTTCTTTGGAATTGAGTGTTTGGTCATGAGTAGTATCACAATGGTGGAGCATCTATAAAATAGAGTAAAATCTCTGTTGGACTACTGGTTTAGAATAATTGCCCCTTTGTCAAAGTAGCCTTCTATTGGAGAAGTCCTTTTTTCCTTTTTTGACTCAGTTGTTATACTATGTACCTTAGGCTATTCCTCAGTGAGGATTTACTGTATTAACTGATTTTGCTAGCACTTAGCTTTTTTATTTCCTTCACTGCTTTTCAGCAGTTGAAATTTTCCAGAAAAACCTCCCTGTAGTTCCTGCATTTAAATTTCCTTTTGGATAACTCATTAAGAACTGGTTTGTGAAGATCTATTTCATCTTGGGTTAGAAATAGCTTAGTTGTGTATAGCTTAAGACTTTTATGGAAACTTAACTCTAAAATAAATGAAGCGAAATTTGAAATGGGCTGTTAAGATGCCTTTCTCAAGGCTTCGTCAAGTTAATAGATGTCTCAGTGGAGACATAAGGTGTTTGAAAAAAAAGCATGTGTCTGTATGTGTACCATTTTTCCAGGCTCAGTGATGTTCTAATACTCTAATGAAGCTGAAAGGCTTCATTAAACTATTAGTTAACTCTTCAAATTGATTTTGTTAGATAGGATTATTAGATGTGGTAGCTGATCAGTGACAGCTCTGTATTATAATCGGTTTTATTCAATGACTGTGGGAAGAATCACTTTATCTCATGTTTATATTCTTAAAAGAATTCTTTTTTAAGAATATAAACAAAGGAAAGTACCTGCTCTCCTCTGTTTTGCATGGTAATTTTGGGTGTGTGTGTTTGGAAGAGATATAGGCTAGTAAAGAAATTACAAAAATCATTTGAGAGAGATTGATTGGTATGGCTGAAATTTGTGTGGTTTTCTTTTTTTTGTTTGTTAATCCTCACCAAGGACATTTTTTACGTTGATTTTTAAATAGTGGGAGGAAGGGAGGGAGAGAGAGAGAGAAACATCAATGTGAGAGAGACATATTGATTGATTGCCTCCTACACTCGCCCTGACGACTGGGGATCGAACCTGCAATGCTTTGGTGTTCGGGCTCATGCTTTAACCACTGAGCAACACTGACCAAAGCAAATTTGTATGGTTTTAATC